TGACTTGTATAATTAATATGTGTACCGTCAATAGTTGAGTATTATGTAGAGCTTTTATATTAATGATACATGTACATCATTCTACATGCATTCTTCAATCATTCAATGATTTATTTATTAAGTTAATGAATGTAGAACATTTCATGGTTCATGTTGTCTTTGTGACTACTCACCTGACTTGTGTTACAGTGTCTTGTCCCATTAATACATGTATTATAATGTACAAGTAGTAGAGCATTTAGGACATGTATAGCAACAAGCTATTGCACATATTCATGTGGTAATTGTTCAAATTGCTTAATATTATTTTACAATGTCCATCAATATTATGTTTTAATGTACACTAGTCTTTAATTTAACCAAATATATTAGTGTGTAGTATGTACGTGTACTTATACATGTATTATGTGTGAATTACTATTATTATTAAATGTTCCTTCAATTTAATCAAAAGCATGGGCAGGTTGACCTTTGGTTCATGCTTGACACTAGACTAGACCAAAATTCAACTTGAGCATTAGCATAACTTGAGGACTAGCAGAAATACTGTGAACCACCTTATAGTAAGGAAACACTGTACAGTGTACATACATGTACATGTATGTTTTCATTGATACATACACATGTAATATAAAGTACATGTACACAATTGTAGGTATAGCTTAATTATTATACACTGACTGACTGTCAATATTGATACACTATTTTTTGTATTGTACTGGTACTTATACATGTACATGTACCTGCTCATTAGTAATTGGGCTAGCAAAGCACCACTCTGTATGTATTGCATGTCCAGTCAGGCCAATCTTCTGGCCACGCCCCATGTGTGTACTACTGGGTATTTAGGTAGCAGTAATATTGTAAAAACACATGTTCGTTAATACATGCATTAAACTACAGCTAGTATAACTGGAAGAATACTGTAGAACATTTAAAGGATGAGCAGTACATGATGATATCACAACGATGGCTTACTTACTGTTTTACACTGTATGAAACATGCATGTACATGTATACTAGCTACTGTATAATTATATTGATCTATCATGTGTAGTATACATGTACGTGTACATGTACATTGTCAATGTACTTATTGTGCACTGTCTCTCATGTTAATACTGTATAGCAGAAAATTTTCATTGCCAGAAACTTTCATTGTCTTTTCAAGCAGGCTTTACAAGATATTTTTATTGATTTTATTTTCGTTTTGCCTAACATAAATTTTCACCGTCATGTCCACTTATTTAGTGCCACATGTATGGTTTAAGATGAAAGAAAGTCCATGGTTTGTGGTTACCACATTATAAAGACATTTGGAGTCCATCAGTTGGAGAAGAACTGCCTTGTTGTGTTGAGCCTGAT